TTACTTTGTAAGTGCAAACAAAGATTTTTTGGACTATTCAAATCTACAATCTACAATCTGCAGGTACCAATTTCTGTGTTCTACGAATTTTCAGCGTGGCTTACTTTGTGTGTGAAACGCTTTTAAGTCATTCTTAATGTGTTCTAAACATATTCGTTCGTTAAAGAGAATTCCATGAGTTGCCGTTATTAGCGCACAACAACAACAACAAGAACAACAACAATGTAACCAACATGAAGATAAAAAGTCACAGATACAAATGCGTCTACCCATATTCCGCTAAATACAATTTATCTCGTTCTATGGATTTTGCTTTATTGCAACGCGATATCTTTGTGTGTTTGCATTTCGATGTTGAGCTGGGTTTTAGTTATGCTTTGGTCAGTTTCTCTACATGTGACCTTCGCGGGTCAATCTGTTTCCTCTGCTCTCAAATTATAAATTGTCTTCTTCTTGGTTTTTTTGATGAAGTTCAGTTATTTGTCTGGCAGACACACCTTATATGTATCTGTGAATTTCCTCTTCATGTCTCTATGAATGCATGAAGAAATATCTAAATATCTCATACACGTGCTTTTAGAGTTTTTAGATTGTTCATTTGTATTGTTAATTTTTACGATCCTTCATTTCTTATTTCCATGTGGAAGATATATACATATTTATAAAAGTATTTGTATAGATTGTATGTTATATACGCACACATGCCTTACACACTATGTGTGTTGTTGTTTGGCAGATGGTTTTAGAGATATAAAAAAGGGTTTCGAATTTATTCATTTTATTCATTTTTTCTTTTTCCTTTGTTTTTGTTTTGTTTTTTTGAAAAAATCCAATATTTTGAGTGTAAAAAGTTTTGTTAGCAATTTTAAAAGTTTTTAGAAAATTGTGAAATAGAATATTGCTTTTTAGCTCTGCTGTATTGTTCCTTAAGTGAAGCATACAGACAAAGGTATTCTATTCGAAAAAACTTAATTGCATACTTAAGTTTAATATTTTACGTCAATTGAAACTCACAAATTAATGCGCATATTTTTGCACATTTTTCCAAATATTTTCTTAATTTTAGTCAAAATTGCAGGATACATTTTCATGCCGACAGACTCGAAATCGTGGAATATGATAAGATATAATATTATAGACGAATAAGTTAATTCGTCATGTAAATTATCATAATAATCATATAGCGGTTCATCATTCTAATACATGATTGGAGAAAAAAAAAACAAAAATTGAGAAAAAAAGTAATATATAATAATTTTAGAAAGTTTGAAAATATATTTGAAGTTAGTTTGGTTGATATAAGAAAGCCATGTAGACTTCCTGAAAACAATACAAGTCATTCTTGTAAATAAATTGCTTATTCTAGAATTTTTTTTAATTTTAAAAACTAAATATAATATAAACTCTTTATACAAGTCCATTTAAATTGGGTTCACACCAGATTACTGAGCATTCGGAGTGCTTGAGACATATTTTAAATATCAGAAAATGACTTATATATGTGTTATATATATATATTTATTTTAACAACAGAAACTGAAAAAAACTGCACTATGATTCACTGTTCATTAAGTTAATCCACAAATTAAATGATGAAACCATTGAAAAGCCAATAGAAGTATAAAAGCAAAAAATGCAGGTGTTAGGCGTATAAGTCATACATAACTCATAAATGTGTTTTATTTAACTAGACTATAATGTAGACATGTTCATAAAATGTGATTCGGATGAGCAAATATAATAAATATTTTATATTTTCCAATTCGGATACCAGAGATTTACTATAAGTAGTTTTTTTTTGTGTAAATAGGGTCAAAATGCATGAGGTACTAGTAAATCTCATACTTTAAAACACTATCAGCATCTCTCCGAAATGTTCATTTTGGAAATGTTATTACAGTACTTTAAAGTAGAATCCATACCCACTTATTAAGATTTTCAATTAAAAATCTGCATTCAGATATTACCTCGTATAGCATTAGATCATATTATTAGAACTTATCATATTTTCAAAATACTAAGATTATAAATCATATTTGTCATCATATGGTCCTTAGAAATCCTAAGTCCTAACATAGACGCTTTTAACTCTTACAAACTCAATCTTTTGGGCGATTGTACTTTTTTCCGTTTCTCTATAAGTTGCTAGTAAAAATAATTACAAATTTTTTATTAGCAGACAATTTCTTTATTTGTTTTATCATTTCTGTACCGATGTTTGTTGTATTAAGTTCGACAGATGTTTTATGTTTCGTTGATATTATTGAGGTAGTGCTTTGCTAGGTTCCTGATTAGTCTGGGATCATTGGTAATAAAACTGTGATCTGACTCGAGAAAATTATGTCACTCGTGCAGACCTGATGACATTAGGTTTATTATGAAATTATATGTTTTAAAATTAAGACCTTAATTAATAATTTAATAATAATTGAGAACTACCACTTAGTTTTCCACATTAGTTGGCATCATCATCATCATAAAATGTGGCTGGAACAGGATTTGCCAGATCTGTTCAGACAAACGTTCTACTAATCTATCAACTTTGTTTATAGAAGTATGAACAGAGTCTGTTTACAGAATTTTTTACAATTGAGACTATAATATAACATATGGTTAGATAACAATCGATAAACATTATCAACGGTGCAATAAATCTAATTATTGTCAACGAAAGTGACAGTTCTGTGGAAGTATTCATAGGATAGGTGCCAGTCTGTAGGAAAATTTATCCAGACAATTTCACAAAGAAATGTCTTTCCTTATTAGAACAAAGTTGTGGTTATGTGTGAATAGGGCATATTAAACTATAAAGTTTATTTTTAAATATAAAAAAAAATGGTTTTATATTTATATATATTTACAAAATGTACATATAAACTTAAAATATTAATACCAATATTAAAATATTACACATATTTTAGAAAGTTGAATACTATTATAGAAAATCTTATCATTTGTATCTAAGTATTGTAAATATTGATACTTAAGTGTCATCGCATTATTTTGAAGGTCAACATTTAAGTTGCAATTGGTGACTTTGAACTCTAAATGATTGTTTTAGCCGCTGTCTGTCTTCTTCTCATCTACCTGCCACTTCTTTCATATCACATACTCATATAACCTGCATTTGTTTACACTATGAGTGATATAGTTTTAATATGAAATTGTTTCTTTGTGGTAGGGTAAAAGCCGCTGTGGTTCTCAAAAAATTAGGCATGCAAATCACGTTATGCGTAAAAGATTAATGATATCTGTGACTTGGAGATGGTGTTAAAATAATTTTAATTTTATTATTCACATATTGGTTAGTCTTACCGGTGTAAGTTTCTATATATATTTAAGAGAACAGATAATCTATGTTCAGTCATCGGTAATTCAAAACCTGTTAAATGTTGAATGAAATTTTATCGTACACATAAAAACCATTTAGACTATTGTATTGCAAAAAAAATCATTTTAATACACAAAAACAATTTTTACTGAATCTGTTATACACAATATAATAATTGCATTTTTGCAATAAAAATTGGTAAGATGTTCAATAAAGTGTAAACGAAATATAGATATTACAACCCGTTTTTCAAGAAATCCGAATAAATGGCTTCAATGTGTAAATTTATCTTTTATAATCAAGTTTGATCTGTCATGTAAGTTAAATTATTTAAAATTGTCTTTTCTTATTTAATTTCCAAAAACTGTATAATTGGAGATCTTAGATAACATAATAATATAATTTTATATATAAAATATATATGATCCCTGCGATCCCAAGCCTATAGGCCCATTGCGTTACCGTATATTTAAAAACTCAGTGGCTAGAACCACTTAGAACCTTTGACAAAGCTTATAATATTATTATTCAGAGGAAAGTCTCGTAGTTCGCCAAGATTCTCAAAAAATATAACCCCTAAAGTAATAAGGCGGCGCCGCGCACATGCTAGGCAAAAACAAATCAGATGGGAGGCATTTCTATCATCCTCTCCACAACTGCGGCTGGTATGATAGAAAGAGAAATTTAGTTTTTACTAGAATGGGTACCTAGACTATATTATAAAATGACATAAGTTCTCAATATTTTTTTGTAGTTATTCATTTTAAACATGCCTGCTTAGAGAGATATTGGTGTTAAGTCTCAGAAGTGTTGATGATTTGACTATTTCAAACACGACCGAAATTAGATATGCATTTGTATAATGATCATATATTTTTAAAAGTTAATAAGAATTAATTTTTGGTCATTTAAAATGGGTATAAGGCAGCCTCTTCAATTCACATAACCCAAAACGGATTGGTCTAACTATAATTAATTTGAAAGTATTCTCGAGTGAACTGTTGAACCCAAGAATTGTAGTTAAATTTTCCATGCATATGGTAGGGAGCTGTACTCCTAAAATAATTTTGGGGAGGTGATAGTAATTATTTATATAATCAAATTATAATAATTATCACTTGTTTACTTTAGTTGCCACAACAACCCGTTGACGATCTATGACCTCAATCAGTACTCATATTTCTCCTATTTTCTCTTTTTCGTTTACACTTTCTCCAATGTTTTACATCAAATGTGAATAGTATGCTCTCAACTTTGTCGTACCATTAGAGATACTGACTTTACTAACGTGATTTTTCTCCGATTACAATCTAGAATAAATGCAATAACATTACAAAACCAGTAAGGTTAACTTAATTAAACTCATTTTCATTATGTTCTGGATGATGAAATGTGGTGAAAGCTGAGTTTATGCCAAAATGATGAAAATCACTCTCTCAGTACATTATTAATCATTGACCAATGATATATTGCCAGACTGTAAGCATTACTTTATCGATGTGTGTATCGATTTAATATATTTTAACACAATCTGGAGACGTCTAGTTTAATTAATTATATAGCATATAATTTTATATCTTTGTTTATACATTACATTTTTAAACTTAAAGCTTCCTCTTAATAATGATCGTAATTTGAAAATATATAATAATTAAAATTATTAATGCAATAAAGTTTTATTTCTGTTAAATTAAAATTCTACAAATTATACATAAAAATATTGTTATTTGGTATATATGTAGACCATACCGCATAGGTCTTCATCATTATACATGTAAATTAACATGATTCATATCCATTGTTTAGTCCATTTCGTCAACGTATTTCTGTATTTTGGTTTAAAAATAGATATAATCTATAATTATTTGTTTATGTTTATTATTTTATATATCCATAATTTCAAATCATAATCATAAAAAGTAATTCCTTTACGTTGCTGTAGTCTGTTGCTGTTCCGTATTTACTGAAGCAGTAGTTGAAACTTCGGCTTTCTCATTAATCGCCAACCATGGACATCGTTTTTGTAATTCTAAACGATACCTAGGATGGCTTATAGCATATACGAACGGATCTACGCAAGCCACCATTTTGCAAGCGCAGGCAGGAATCATAGTTACACCGGGTGTCAAAAGACTTCTGTCACCAAATGCCCCAATAAGAGACATAACCCCATATGGTGTCCATGAAACGAAGAACAAGAAACATATCGTAATAGCTGCTTTGGCTATACGTATCTCAGCTGTCTCTTTACTCTTATCGACATTAGACCGCAATGATTCCACATTCATTTTTTTCGCTTGTTCTCGTAACGCTTTTTCATGTGAGAAGACATGTCCAACAATTTGGCTGTAGTAGTAGACAATCAGTGAAGTTGGGCATACAAAACTAAAGAAGAATATGGTGCCAACAAACAAACGTGTATCGAAATTATCGGTTAAATAATCGAATGTGCATGATGTCAAGTAACCCTCTGCAAGAACAAAGAAATTTTTTTAATTATTTACAATTAAGTTAGGCGTGGAGTAATAAAAAGTGACTCTTTATGAAGTGATGACTTTTTTTTTATTGAAGTCAATATGAATAAATACTTCATTTAGTGAATATAATGTAAGCGGTGTAAATATAATTATTTGTTATTAATTATTATATTGATTTCGATTCGATTTTAGCTTTTAAATGCTTGTAAAAGTATTTCGTTATATGTACTTTTGTGGAGAAAAATATACGAATATTATGCTTGTATACCCACTGGAATTAATTACTGACATTATTATTATTACGTTAATGAAAGAGAAACATTATTATTCAATAAACAAAATTAGTTGTGAATACAATAAAAATTAATCATTTTCTCCATTATATTTTAGCTTAAAAGTTCACTGAATTAGTTTTAAATATCAATATATTAAGTAACTTAAATATTTTATAGAAAGGTTTCGAACGTATTTTAGATATGAATTTAACATAATTAAATGTCTAATACTTCTCTTATAAAACTATATACTGTAATTCATAATTGCACCAACAATATTAATGTTTCGTATCAGTCTTATAACCCGATCACAGCGAGGTCGTGAGAAGTAATGAAGTAGTGATGGTTGTCTATATGATATAACGTATTATAATTTATGCAGATGTATATACATTTTTATACACTTAGGATTAAGTTTATTTTCACCTTATATAAATATAATAAATACATCCTTAACATACCATGCAATTTAAGTCAATTTCTGATAAACATTTATTTTCTAACATTTCTCTTTAAAACATTAAGTAATATTTATTTTTTCGCCATGTATGGGTAGGTCCTACCAAATTCAATGCCACTATCCCAACGCTTACATATTTTGACGTCTGACTTCGATATGTATCTGAAATTTGTCTTTGAAGTGGCGTCTATGCCAGTTGAGTTGACTTTTTTTTTGCCAAAAAAACTTGCAAATCGACGGTTTTGTGCCATCGCAGAATACTCACAAGTATAATTTCAAAAGCAACTGATATACACACATTGGTTAACATTCATGAGGATTAAATCTAAGCATCTAACGTGCAATTTAATCTGTACATTTGTTAAATTTATGTAGATAGATTATTAGTTAGTGGCTTTCTAACGATAAGACTTTGTAAAGATATATTTGGAGACTTCTATTTGGAGACTCAAGAAGAATATATAATATTAAGTTGTATTTTCACATAATATAAAGGTTGAGTCAAGATATTCGAAAGGATAGCTATAATCGAATGGATGGTTAATTGTTGGTTCTAATATAAACTCTGGTCCATTTTATTTTTTATAATACTTTTGCATTAAATTTATTTTGTTAATTGTAAAAATTATCTAGTATAAGTTATTAAATTAATACAGATTTTATAAATATCCCAAATACTTTTTACTTGGTTTAAATTGTTTTATATTTTAAATTTAGTCTAATTTAGTTTTCATTGAAATTAAGTTACTTTTAATTCTTATTTATTATACAATTTCATTTAGTATTTTTGAATATTATTTTTTGTTTTTGTTTTGTTATATTTTCTTTTATTTGATTTTATTATTTTATGCGATTTTTTTTAAAACTTCATGAAATTTATAAAAATAGCAAGAATCCAGTAAATTGTATGTATCATATATCATTCTAATTACATTCTTAATACATTTGATATATATTTTTCATAAATGATTTTAGTAGTGGAACGATTTTGTTCTTAAAAACATAACTTTTAACTTCTCATATATATAGTTATATTTTAAAAATATATAACTAATATATAATATATGAATATATAGATACTCCATTATTTTTAATATATCTGAGGATTAAATTAATTTACTATAACTTTTAGTAATAGTACTAGCTGTAACCCAAAAAAATATCCATTAAAAGATACCTAAAATCCAATTAAAATATGGCTGGAGACAATAGACTAATTCCCTTTGATTTCCCTGGTTGATTATGATTTCATAACAATTTTCACATACTAAATACTTTTAGAAACATTTATTATATTATTTCTCTTACTCGATTACTTAAATTATAAATCAATTTAATATAATTTATTAAAAATACCTTTCCAGAAATTAGCATATGTACAAATTTCGATATAATAGCTTCTGAACATAGCTAGAAAAAAGTTATCAACATTATAGGGTCTGTTGTTGGTTAAGTTAGACTTTTCTTACAGGCTATACTTTCGAAATAATAAACTACTGATGCATTAGTTAAATTATTTACATTAATAAATTTCCTTAATTTTTATACCCATTAACCCATAATAATTTTAGCTCAAGAGATATTGTATTTAATACATAAAAATCAATGTACAAATAAAGATGTTATCCAAACATATGATTTATAAAATTTTATTTACTGCAGGTTTTTTTGGTGTTAAACGTATCTAACGGCACCTTACTTTAATTCAATTAGTTATATGAATATAAATATATATCACATATATTATGTATTGATATTATAATATACTATCATAATATTAATATCAATCTTATAAATAAATATTGCCTTGACAAGCTAAATCTGCTGGGCGCATTAAATCAGGTGTCGATTCTCTGGGTACCTGGACATACTGGCGTACTCGGAAACGAACACGCAGACAAACTAGCCATGAAAGGAGCAGCCACACCGATGATGGGAGCCGGAAACTTTCTGTGGACTAGAACATAGTACGCTTCTTTCTCTCACAGAAATAAAGGAGAACCAGAACAAAAAGGATTACTGGGATAATATACCATGATTAATACAATCCAAATCACTTATTGGTACCTATAACAATAGGAGATACCAGATTTGTATAAACCTATCAAAAAAAAAACTTAGAATCATCACAAAAATCTTAACAGGGCAATGTAAACTAAAATACCACCTTGTGAGAGTGGGTATACATACGGATGCAAACTATAGTTTCTGAGAAAATAATGATGAGTCAGCCACACATGTGCTGTTAAAATGGGAATGTATATTCCTATTGAAGAGGCAAAGAGGCAATAAAACTCTGTAAAGTAGGTTCTATATTACTTTTTATTGACGCAACAAGGTTTAGAGACCAACTCTAAACCCAGAAGGCGGCACAATAAACCCGACGGTCTCAGTGCTACATCCCTTAACAATAAAATTAATAAAATATATATTATTGATCATTATTATTAAAACTCGATATACATACGTTTTTTTTGTTTTTGTTTTTGTTTTTTGAGCTAACGTAACGCCTTGTATAAATATGTAAGATATTCCTTTGTATATCACATATAACAATAATAACTGATTAATAATAACTGAATAACTGCAATAACTGATTGCAGTTTTTATTAAAAACGTGAAAAATATTATTTCGTCACAATATATATGTTGTTCTATATTTTAAAATATATATTCAATATGGCAAAGAATATATTCAACGAAGTAACGTAATGGAGAGACAATAAGCCATTGTTGATGTTTGAAAATATTTTTTTTTTTTTTAATAAAGAGGAATTTAAGATTGCAAATCCTATTAAAATCTGCCAAAGTTTTAGTGCAAATCAGTGTGCTAGACCACTTATTCAGTGTTACGCATTCTATATATTTCTATATGATAAAATAAAAATATAATTTATATATTACTAAATAAAAATTTATCAGTACAATTTTGATTAACAATTTTATTTCTTTTTCCAGTAAAATCCAACGAATGAAATGCAAACAAGAATCCTGACTTTGGACTTTTAAATAAAACATATAATAGACTAATCAACGTAACAGCACTACCAAAAATTTAGCTAATAATATAACTTAAACAACATTAATAACAGAAAGGCTAACATACAAGGAACCATAGTATATTTCGTTTTGTGACCACACCGCCAGTTAACTGCCAAATATTTTTTGTTATTACACAACGCAAATCAATTCAGTTAAATTGTCAATAAATTTGCAACAATAAGCCGAACTACAGAAGACATAGACATTCTAAATACTTACACTAAAACCAAAGTCAATATAAATACAATAACAACGATTACAACACATCTGGTGTTATCATTATTCTTGTACGCTTTAGCACCAAATTTGGTAACCAACTTTAATCCATCACATATAGACCAAAACCAATGTCTAACAAAATCAACCCTAAACGTCGTGATACACCGACTGTTGTTGGCACTGGTACTACTATCAGCAATACTTCAGCAAATACATCATCATCCTCCAGCTCATCACTTTCGTCCGCCGGGGGCGGTGATGGTGGTATGTCTGCTGATTTGACTTCTCTTTTCGAATGTCCGGTGTGCTTTGATTATGTGTTGCCACCAATTCTTCAATGCTCTAGTGGTCATCTAGTTTGCGTTTCATGCCGATCAAAGCTCACCTGCTGTCCAACATGCCGCGGCCCCTTGGCTAACATACGAAATTTGGCAATGGAAAAGGTGGCATCGAATGTGAAATTTCCATGTAAACATTCAGGTTATGGTTGTACAGCATCACTTGTTTATACTGAAAAAACAGAACACGAAGAAACATGTGAACGTCGCCCTTATTTGTGTCCCTGCCCTGGTGCTTCATGTAAATGGCAAGGACCTCTCGATCTAGTCATGCAGCACCTAATGATGTCGCACAAGAGTATAACAACGTTACAAGGCGAAGATATTGTTTTTCTTGCTACCGATATTAATTTACCTGGCGCAGTCGATTGGGTGATGATGCAATCATGCTTTGGTCACCATTTCATGCTCGTGCTTGAGAAGCAAGAAAAATATGATGGTCATCAACAGTTCTTCGCAATCGTCCAATTAATAGGTTCACGTAAAGAAGCTGAGAATTTCGTTTATCGTTTAGAACTGAATGGCAATAGACGCCGTCTCACATGGGAAGCAATGCCTCGTTCAATACACGAAGGCGTCGCTTCTGCTATACACAACTCTGATTGCTTAGTATTTGACACGTCTATAGCACAGCTTTTTGCCGATAATGGAAATCTTGGTATTAACGTAACTATTTCGATTGTTTAAGCTGTTTAACACCACACACTACTACTAATGCATACAAACAATCGACTTTAATGATTTATATAGTAAAAACGTTTCTAAAACGATTTGTCTGAAAAGTGATTTTATGACTTATTTTAACTTTGTAACTAGAATTATGCATAGTAATTATTTCGATGTAAAACTTTACAATTCCATAAGTAAAAATATGAATATGCTACTCTACTTTATTGTATTTACGTCACAAAATAAACATCTAGTAGAATAATAATTTGCCTTTAGATTTATAATGCATAACCACTAAAATATTTTTAAAATTATTATTACTTGATTTTTTTTTATTATTATTACTTCATAAAGTTCATAAATATTGACTTCTATTTTAATTATTTTAAATCTTTTGTTTATTTTGATTTTGTATTTATATATTTTTATTTATATTTTTTATTTCAATTCTTTTATTTATATTGGTTTAAATTCATTAAGTTCTATTTTATGTATAAGTTAAACTTAAAACATTTTAACATTTCTAATATTATCACTGCGATAATTTAATTTATAATTTAAAAACAAATAACTATTTCACTTGAAACTATTATTAATTATATTATATGATCTATAAATGATATATATTATTTTAATCAATTTTTTTTTTTAATTTGAACGTAGTAAATAATTTTATTTTTAATGGTTAATAAGAACAAAGAAAGCAAAGGATTGAAATTAAATAATAATTGTACTTTTCACATTATAAAACAAAACCTAAAATCTATTAGGTACTTATCATTGTTTTTTTTTTTTTTAATTGTTAAGAGAAATGAGTCTAAATTTTTATATATGTTTTGTTATTTATAAAAAATCTCAGTCTCATAAGTTTAACTAAAAATTATACTTTATAAACATAATATTTTAGAAGACTATAAGTTAGTTTTTTTTATAAAGTTATCTGAATTGTAAAATCATTATTTTATTAAGTTTGAAAAATTTAAAATGTAATCAAATCATTATTATTTTATTTTTAATATTATAGAAACTATAACATGAAGACCGCAAAAACATTTAAAAATTTAATTTGTTATTGAATTGTATTATCTAAAAAGTATGACTTGAAAATTGTCCCTACGAACTATATTATATTGTTGTATAACTTTTATATTTTATATAAAAATTTTGTTTTATTTTATATAAAATTTATGTCTTATTTTATATAAAATGTGCGGTCCAATAAATCAAAAAAGTTAAATTTTAAAAACAATATTATTGAAAAGTACAAATTTTGTTTCATATTTAAAGTTTTCTTTCATATTTAATTTAAAAAGTAAAGCACTTAAAATGTATATTGTTTTAAACCAAAACTACAAAGGCAATTATTTTAAAAGTTTTATTAGCAGAAAATTTGTCAGCCAAAACTTGCTATGAAAATTTATATTGCAGGTTTTTGGCAACTACAAAAAATTTATATGTCATTGTAAATAAGTTGGTGTTGCAACAAATTTGCTAAAAACTTGACAGTGTAGTCTTTAAGTTAATAAATTAATATCAGAAAGGAAAGGAAAATTTATTGTAACATAATACTATACACTGGAAATGTATTTATTCGTTATGGATTTTAAAGTAAACAGTGTTTTTAAGAATAGATATTTGTAGTGAAACTCCCTATTTGCGATTAGATTTGTCGATAAGAAAGTATACCTTTCTTTTACATAAACGCTTTCCTTTTTATTTGTAAATATAATTTTCCGAAAAGGATAAAATTGCACAGTGCCGAATCAGATCCATTGTTGTAGCTTGTCGATGTATGTAATGCAAATAGATGGGGCCTAACTACAAAGACTTATTTTTAAATGCATACGTTTATATTAGATGATTTTACTAAAGATTACTAATTTTAAAAACTTCTATTAAACTGTACCTGTTATTAAAAAGTTCTGTTTACTAAGGAATCCATCTTGTATATTCTATAAATTTCGAATTTTTTAGGTTTAAAATTATTTTTAATCATAGTTGTTGATATGTGTAATTTGTTTTTAATATTGATAAAATATCAATTGTTACATATATAATTAAATTGCGATTTTTTATGAATTTTTTTAAACAGATCTAAGATTTCGAATGTTTATCGAATTGACTAAAATCATTTAAACGTTTTATATGGTTGCTTTAAAATCTGAAAGCTCATACCTAGTTTTCTTCATTGTTATTAAAGAAGTTTACTTCGCAATATAACAATGTATAAAACAAAGAAATAAACCAATTTAATTCTGGATAAAGTGTCCATATTAACTGAACGCTTACGCATTTTCTTAAAAGTAAAACTTGTGATAACTATGTAGTAGTAGTTATTGCCCAATATATATTGAACTTTTTACTAACAAACATTATTGAACCAATGTTCAATTTAAATTTGTTTGTAGTTGTTCTAAACCTGATGATGGTTCCATGCCTTTAATTGGCTTTCAAAAAGATTGATTATTAATTATTCTTCATTCATTCTCTATTTATTGTATAAAGATACATAAAGAATGTGACCCACTTTACACATTTTTCACATTCGCAACAAATTAGCTATCAGTTATATACGAGTATATCTCTATATAGGCATCAATTGCAAATTACTTGAAACAAGTTTACCTCGCTTAGAAAGAAAGTTAAAAAAATAGTATAGTTGCATAGTATAAACAGGATGATTTAATGTTAGACGCGTAGCTGCTTTAGTATTCCTTTCAAGTCAACAGGTTTTACTAATAAAATTACATGTTTTATATTAAATTTGTTTAACATACATACAATTAATTTTACTCCATAAGATCGAATGTTAATATCTACTGTTTTGATTTGCAACTATAGGTTATTGACTTTACTAATTAAAAAAAGAAATTATTGCACTGTACATCATCAGTTTAATGATATGGTTTTATGTAAATCTAAAAGACTTCAATTAAATTTTAAAATATGTACAAATTATTTACATAAATTAAAGAAAAGTGCTTATTACAAATTATTACTAATTTAAAATTTGAAAAAAAAAGAAAATTCTTTAAACATATACATATATTTAAATTGTAATTTCAGTCAGAAGTTTTATATCGAAATAATTTTGTGTAATTAATCTTTAATTTAGTAGCAATCATTTTTGATTTATATGCATTGAAAAATGAATTCTTCAACTAATTTTACTGATTTATAAATAAAAATAATTTTTTTTATTAGTTTTCTACTATTTTTAGTATTAAATGTAGATATTTTAAATCATTAATCATATATTTATTAAATTAAGAACATCTCATTTTTACACAAACACTTAGCACTTTCAGTTTAAAAGTGAGTCTTTGAATTTGTATAAATAATATATATAATTTTGTTTATGTTTTTCTAAATATATTAAAGCAAATAAATTTGTTTATGAAATAAATAATATTATAAGAAAAGACAAAAAATAATAGTACTAAGCAAAAATAATAAACAAGTGAACGAAATTTTTTTTGTACATTACATGAATTGAATTTGAAATAATATAAGAAAATTACACAAATAAATCAAAACAATAAAAATAATGTAGGTATATATATACATATATATAAAAAAACGCTCACAATTAAATATGAAATAATAAATAAATATAAAAAATACAAATTTATATATACATAATACGTATAGGTTAGTCGATCTCTTATAAATAATATAATTATGAAACAAATTAATACAAAAATAAATTTAAAAAAAAGTAATTCTTTTTTCATTTTTTAATTATTAAAATATAAGAATTAGAAGATATTTTAAATGATATTTTAGAAGATTGGAAGATATTTTAAATAAAGCTGTTTTAAATACCGTAAAATATCTATCATAAGTTTAAAAATAATGTTTGGATAATTAAACCAATAGATAGATATTCATAAGACCATTGCTGATGGATGTTTGACAGTATCCAAAACAACTAAAATAATTTTAATTTAATTTAAAATTAAATTAAATTATTTGAAATTAATTTTTAGTACAACTTTAAAAGTAGTAAATAATATGATAATAACATTCAAATTGCATTGACTAGAAAATCATTTATTTGAACAATTAAAATAAGATCTTCCAGTACCCAATTAATATCAGTAATTTAATATAAGCTAGAGGAATGTAAAAATTGAAGAGCAAAAGAAAATTAAATTAGGAGCAGAAGTAAGAAAAGTTACTTATAAAAGAAGTATCTTATTATTATCAGCCCTACAGCCAGGTTCTAATCTTAAGTTTCTTGAACAAATCTCCTCACTGATCAATATAAGCTGATCTCATTCAGTTGAGCACTCCTAGAAATCACCCAATACATGTCGGATTTATTTAAATTTAAAAACAATTTATGTATCAAGAATTATCTGACAATTTTTAGAAGAGAAAATAAAAATCTCAAGAACTATATAAACTCTAAGGTTTTTAGGAAGGTATTAAAATTACAACATTAGGATTATAAGATTAGAATTTTGTTGAAGAATCTGACAGATTACAGAACTTGTGCAATAACAAGAGTTAAATCATATGAAATAATATTAATCCCACCCATGTAATCATCTTGCACATCCTTCCATGTTATCTGCTTACAGGTTGCAGCGGTTTACAACAACAGCAAATAATTTTAATAAATAGAATAAGATACGAATAAATGAGTTATTGATTTGTATATAGCAATATCTTAAAAACTAAGATATAGTGAATCAATTTTTTTGTGTTATGCAAAAATTTCTTTGTAGAGCCAATTACTTTGAGAAATCTGTCCACAAAAGTAAATAGCCTAAACCGGAAACCTGCAAGGTAACAAAGCGCATTGTAAAAGAATTTGACAGTGGACTGGCGCATTTTATGATCGGGTTCATTATAGCGTATAACACAGGTGGCCACCACATGTCCTCCAACCTATCAATCAGCTGTCAAATTTTAACAATATATATCACTTTAACAGATAAAGTGTCCAGCATTCTCAATAACTAGATTAAGATTGTTAGATTATGATGACTTGAGCATATGTGATATTCATGCTCTTTCTAGATTCATAAGAGGAACTAAAAAAATCGAATTAGAGCCAAACCATGAACCATGATCCCGCCATAAAAACGGTAAATTCAAAAAAATTAAAGGTATTTCTCGAATAGTAAATAGTAATAGTATTTTATAAGAAATAAGAGACAGTAAATGTAACGCATTATAGTATTGCAAGAAACAATAGATGACACAAAATATCTTTTAATAATAATAACATATTCTGCCCATAAAATGTGACCAGATATTTAAAAGATTTTTAAAGCTTCCAATGGTTTTTTTTTTCATAATAAAAATCTGAATCAACATTAACCTAACAGATATTATAATGAAACTATTATCTAATAACAGGAATTATATCTCAACATATATCATTTAAAAAATATGATTATATTAGTAATTACCTGGTACAAAACGTCCCCAAGTTTCGGTAGCACAAGCAACCACAAAAGGCGTAGCATACATATAGATAAATATAATCATCAGTATAGCTTTGCCATGGGTCATTTTTCCTTCCATTGGTCGTGTGATGACATTGTAACGATCGTAGGCAATGAAAGCATTTGTAGCAGAAGCGCCTATTCCCGTATAAGAACCAATTATACCAAAAATCTGGCAGCCCCAATTGCCAAGCGCAAATCCTTTATGAAATGAATTATAGATGAATATTGGTGTTTTGCTCATCATGAAGAAGTCACAGAGAGCTAAATTTATGACAAGTATGTTGGACGGTGTACGCAATGATTTGGCACTGTAAAGAAATAATATAATTAATTTAAGTTAGTAATCATTACATTAATCTTAATCTTGTGTCCAGACTTCCAGTCACTAATTAAATTCAATAAACACAAAAAACTGGGTCCTCGAAATTGAAGTTCTGTCACCACCCATTCGGCGCTATAGTTTTTTGTTGTTGTGCTTGTTACGTTCAATTAGCGACTAGAGATCTGAATACATGATCAAGATTAATGCATAATAGAACTTGATAATTTGTTATTAAACATATATTTGTATGATAACTTACGCGGAAAAAACCCATATCACAAGTCCGTTTCCCGTTAATGATAATAATGCGAAAAATATATAAAGAGTACCTAAAAGATAATGCATAGAATCCGGCGGCTCAGTATATTTTAGCCAATGTTCTGGTATATGACGTAGCTCATCGGGTGGCACATTCCAACCAATAAGACGACCCTCCGAGCCGACTCTACAAATAATACATAAAAAAAATTAATATATTATGAGAAAACGGTGTTAAAAGAATATAAAAAAAAGAAATTAAAGAATGTTTAATTATATACCGTGCTTGTGGGCGCAAAACTGTTGATACATTTCCATATAAATTGGTTATATTATAGTCCATAACTCCGGCCGACGCTCCGGTTCACTAACTGTTTGGCCAACAATGACAGAAGTGCTTGCTAACAAATGCGCAGCTTTTATAGAAAATTTGCAGTTCTAAATAGAATAACTTTTTTTTTGTAATTGTTTAAAAAATTGTCGGATTTAAATGGATTAGCCAACGGTTAAACCTCGGCTGGTTGGTATTTGCTGATTAAGCTTTTTTTTAACAGTGATTTGTTTGGAATTTTTGTAGGTCAAATCCAACAACAGATTAGTTGAATAAGTAACTATTTTAAGGGTAAGTTCTTTCACCTTGTATATGTGATTTTATATAACCGAATTTAATTATTATATAAGTCAGTAGCAAAGTAGTGATCAATAATATTAAGTATATTATTTTACATTGACGGTGAAAAGAAAGCTAGGTTAGAGCAAAAACTTTAACATTTTTAGTTAAATAAATGAATTAGTGAGTGAACTGAGTTGACTGTTTAATAGTTATAAATATATAAACAGTTTATTATAAAATATTTATAAGTCGTGTTGATTATTTTTAAAATATTGGATAACTGTTTGTAACAAGGTGGAGTAACTTAACTTTTTACGGGATCATTGTGTAAATAAAGTGTTCAACTAAAATTATTAAAATTCATTTAAAATACACAAATTTTGACATTAAAGATGTGTCTGATTGTTTGAACTTTTATTTTTTAGATTATAATAAAAATATTAAATAATAATAATAACAAAAAATAGTTTTTAAATAGAAGCATATGTTAGTTAGTTAGTTGTGGTGGAGGGAGGACGAATCCTCTCCAATTAGCTAAAAGAAAAAGGAAAGCCGTTTTGATTCCACAAAAAATAGTGGGTAGTAGATAGAGGGTCAACCTAGAACCAGCCAGAGGCATTAAGAAAGGGAAGAATCTGGCTAATGCTAATGCTGAAGATATCGCTAAGTGAGTTGAAGAAGGGGGCCCCCAGAAGCTTAAACCTAGTTCTGGCCAGACCTGGACAAAAACACATCAGGTATTCTGATTTCATTTCTTCAAGAGCTGGTAGACACGTACTGCAAGAGGTACCACAGGGAAGCATATACCACAGGAATATCTCAGATCTCAAAAGTGAAATACCAGTTCTTAATAGGTGAGATACCAAAGATAGTTGGAAAAGTTAGTCAGAAAAATCTGCGAACATAAAAGTCAAGTACGACTTTGCTGACTCTGAGCGCTGACTCAGTGCTTTAAATTTGGCAGGGCACGAGTTCGATTCTAGGTATTTGTAGTCTGAAAAAATTATTTACAAATAATTAAATAGAAGGATTATTTTGAAAACTACTGATGATGGATATTTGGCAATACTCGAAGCAACTGTATGATCAGCCAAAAATTCAATTAATTAAAATAATATAAAAAGAAATTTTTGTTGTTGTAGTTCATTACTTTTTAAAACTTTTTTATGAAATATACTAATTTCTATTAAATATAATAGTTACTTCCATCTTAAAAATAATGTTAAATTACAACTTATATTGACAATATATTTATTTCCGATATATTTTTAAAAAATAATAAAAGGTAGTTAAAACTCAATTTTTTGTGTTCTACCTATTTACCTATTTAGCTATAGTTCTTGAGATGATCTTGAAGACGAATCATACTCCTCTACATATCTCTTCTGCCACAGATCTGAAGTATTTTAAAATGTGGATTTCGTAAATTAAAAACAAAAATTACGACAATAATTTGTTGAATAAATCTTATTATAAATTTAAATAGTTTGAAAAAAGAAATAATGCTTCATTTAGCGAAAAGTATTGTCTAAATGTTAAAATGGTCATGATCCCCCTTTAATAAGATACTGCTGTATCCTGCTATCCTGCTAAACTTTTAGTTATTCTGCTGTAAAATTAAAATTTTGAAATTATTTGGTAACATTTAAGTTATTTTTATTTATTATTATTTTTTTTAATTATATCTAATGTAAAACCGTTATGTTTATTTAACTTATTATATACATATGTATGTAAAAAATATTTTGAGATATTAAGAGATTGTTATTACTATAACAGTTTCTAACAAAGAAGTGTTGAACCAGTTGTAATATGTATTATAAGATATTAAGATTATTAAATTATTTTAGTAAATAATTGAATAAACAGTTACTTCTCTCTCTCTCTCTCTCTCTCTCTCTCTCTCTCTTTCTATCATATTTTACATTTTTTTTGAATTTTTTTTCATTTATATTGAATTTATTTTATCAACTTTAATTTCATTTTATTTAAAATGAATTTATTAATAACAAAAAGAGTTACTATATATGTACATATATTGAATTTATTTGATTAACTTTAATTTAAATTTGAAATGGTTTTTATATATTTTTTAATCCGGGTGTAAATAAATAATTGTTAAATAATTCAACGTTTAATATTGTTTTATTATATACTATATTTCTCTTCTTGAGAGTCATCATCAGGACCACAATCTAACATAAATTAATGTTGCTAAAACTATATCTTCGTCATCCTCTTTATTCTATCGTGTACATTGCGCCACAAATTTAAATATTTTAAACGTTACAGTTTTTCACCACTTGGCAAAATTCCTCAAAATAAATTTTGAATAAAACTAACAATATTCACAACAAAATTCACACCACACATTATTAAAAATATATCATCATTTTATATTTTAAAATTAATAAAATAATTATTATTTTATTTTATTTTATTAAATAAATTTCACATTTGAAAAATACAACTTACCTTTTCCATATTTTATTTACCACAGCAAGTAACAATTACTGTGTAATTACACATTTTGTGTTATACACAACTCACAACTTTTTGCATAAACAAACGCTAAACGCAACACAAGTTCGATGTCAACAAGCAAACGTTTTTGTTTTTAGTCTGATTTCGTCTTCGCTGTTGGGGGTTGGAGCTTCAACTTTTTCGCTTGAAACGCGCGGTTAATTTTGAAGTGTGTTGAATTATTTTCTAATAAGAGTATTTATTACGATGAAAGCAAATTTCATTAATGAAAATTGAGTTTTTTTTTATCAGATAATTATTTTAAACAAAAAATGTGAAAAATAATTGCGTATTTTCCATTTACCGGTGTTTTTTTTTTTGTGTTCATATATGCATAAAATAAAAAAAAATTTTAGAGTAAAATATTAAGAAAAGAAAAATCATTCATCAAGCAAATTTGGAGTGCAATTGTAACTGTAAAGTTTAATTTTAATTTAATTGTGGCTGTATTTAAATAAATATTTACGGGGAGTGTTAGCTGTTATAAAGAAAAAAATTTCAATTAAAAGCATTTGCAATTGCAATATTATAACTAAATATCATAACTAAATTAAATGTTTGTTATAATTATGTTGAAGAAACCAATTTCTATTTATGCTTTTCACTTCATTTTAAGCCAAGTTAAATTGCATTTCATACGAACACACATGCGCGTTGGTCTAACACAATCACATATGTATGTCCTCTAAAAAATGGATGAGCGCAAAGGAAATGTGAAAATACAAAACTAGTTTATATTGTTGCGTCGCGGTTTGATGACGTCGTTACCGTCTATACCGTCGTCTTCGCATGTACAAAACTGTGTTTTATTTTGTTTTTGTCTTGTTGTTAACCAAAAGAACTTTAAAGATAACAAGTTTAACCGGCCAGTAATATGAAAATTTATTCCACTTTATGCTTATGTATATTATATGTTGCAGCATATCTATTTTCATGTGGACCAAGAAAATTCAACAAAATGTGAACTGACCAAAGCCAACACTTAAGCAAACAAAAACAAAGAAAAACATCAAATTATATGGAGAAAATGAAAAGGAAAAAATTTTTGTTATTATAACAACAAAAATAACAAAAACAACACAAACCGTACAAAGCAAAAAACCGGCCGGTATTTGCTTTTGTTGTTTAATCATACATGGCAACATTTTCAGTCCAACCGAACAGCAACTTATAGGAAACTGATTGGAATTTGCTAGTGAACATTATGTTGTGTTGTGTGTTTTGTTTTGTTTTTATTGTTTTACATATCACACATGCATGCAAGCATTAGGAAGGGAAATCTTATAAGACAAATAAACAAAAACAATGTAAGAATGTTGGCTGTTTTGTTGTTGTTGTTTTTCTTTAACGTGCAATTGGTGTTTTGTTGGAGTTTTAATTCATTTTTTTAACGCTCAAATAGGCTTTTTAAATGGATTTTAAATGATAGGTTTTTTTGTGATTGTAATGCAAAAATAATTGTAGCACAATTTTACGTTGCCCTTAACTTGTCCTATCAGTTTTTGTGTTGTGGTTTTTGTGCAGAAATAGAGTTTGAGATTGGCTTTATGTTCCTTCGGAAAAATATACCAATAATATTAAAAATTAAGTCAGAAAGCAAGTAAAATTAATGATATAATAAATTCACATTAAATTGCTATTTTAACTTGAACTTTTAAAAATAACATTAAGGCAGTGTGCGAGTTCGAGTAAATTGAGGTAAAATAAATTGAAATTTCCTACGAATATAAATATATTTGTAAATATGTAAATATTTGCCCAGGCTTGATCTGGGCTAGGAGGAAGTCACTGGGTCGAGAATTGCTCTCCCCTTTGACATTAGGAGGTTCTCAACGGCTGACATTCTGGCCTTCATTCGGAAGGCGGAATGTCTTCTGCTCGGTTAGGGTCTGTTGCAGCACAAAAGATTAATCATCATCGCAGTGCTCCTCTCTGTTGGGAGCTAGAACCCCGTTCATTCGTATTCTTATGTAAATATTTATTTATTTATTGCACTTATTTATTATTTTTAGTTTAAAGTTTTTAAATTTATTTATTTATTTATTAAACATCTTATGAAATTTTCACATTGACACCTAATTTACCTAATTTTTTTTTAATTTACCTTACTCGAAATTCTGGTAAATACCAACATTCGCTGCCATACCAGCTTAATTTGCTATTTCCTTCAATTTACCATCAATGTACTCGAACTCGCACACGGCCTTAATATGTAATTAAATTTAATCTTCTGTAATTTGATAGGAAAAATGCAGTTGTAGAATACGTTAAGTGAAAAGGATTATACTGTGAAGATCGGTCTTCTGATCGTATGTGATTCTAACATTTAAAAATAATCAGTATAGTATTTTCTTGCAAGTTACTCTTCATCAAATAGTTTTTCCTAAACTCCGAGAGAGATTCAAGTCGCATTCAAATCCTCATGTTCGACACTTATCTTCTGCAATTGCACTAAAACGCCTTAACATAAAGTTATTGATAAATATGAATATCTCAATAATAATAATAGCAAACATGTTTGATTTTTAAGATTCGTAAAATTATTGTCAATTCTCTATTTAGAAAAATTCAATAAATATATCAATGAAAAAAAAAAAATAGTTCCTTCGTTTTGTTCTTCATGTAAACTTTGACCGTTTATAATTCAAAACTTTATGCAATGTTCACACTATAGTACTTAACTCAATAAATACCATATGCAGCAATATAGTATATGCAATTTTTCATATAAAACTCATTAAAAATACATATAAAAATACACTAAAGAGATTCGATAAGTCCAAGTGTGAACAATGTATTATGTATAATTGTATTTATTAAATACCAAGAATTATTTACCTTTCGTCTCAACACAATATTTTGAAATATTTAAGAATATTTTAGTTGTTTGTGTTGCTTTTTAAAAAACTGTGTCTTAACTTTAGTCTGGTGGTTTGTTTATATAATAATGTTTTACATATCATTCTCAGATGTGGTTTAATCATGAGTCTGATAGTTTTTGTTTTTTTTTTTTGCCAGAAAAAACTTCAAATCTATTGTGCTATCCACATCTAATTTCAATGATGGTTGTTATCCTGTTGCTTTGAAGTCCTGAACGATGTTTCTATGAAAAAATCATTAAAATTTGAATGTTACATTTTGGTTATCGAATAGTTTGCTTTATAAAAAATGATTGATTCTCCAGTTAACCCTAAAATTCCTCTAACTTCTACGTTTATGCTCAATCCTGATGTTAATTTTTAAAATAATAAAATAGTATCCCCTGGCAATCCTAGGGGAACTCACTTAGGCCTATAGGCCGATTATGCTACCGCATTATAAAAGAACCAAGGGCTAAAATCATCTAGAACCTTTGCCAAAGCTTATGATGTTATTTAAAGGGAGGTCTTGAAGTTCCCCAAGATCCTCAAAAAAGAAAGCCCCTAAAATGTTAAGCCGGCGCCGTGCGTGTGCCGTACAGAAGCAAAGCAGGTGGGAGGCACTTTCATCATTCTCACCACAGCTGCGGCAGATACGATTGCATGAAGGAAATCCTCAAACAAAATTTCCTTCTACTCTTAACATGGGATTCATGAAAAAATGAGATTAAAATTTTTGTTAAATCCGTTTTATATTTAACAAAAATATAAAGCTAAAAATTTTTTAATACTTTCTTTATATTAGCAAAAAAAAAAATGCATTTATAACTAACTGAAATTAATAAACAATTTTTTTTTAATTAATTATCATTTTTCACTACCCCACATGCGCCAATGCAATTTTAACTGCCAAAATAGTTAAAAGCTCACTACTGTCAAACCTTTTTATTTAACATCTTTTAACCTTTTTTTTTTAAATATTATTTTTTTTTATTTTATGTTTTAAGTGGTGACAGCATGCAGCAATAATTCCTCATTAATTTCAGCAATTCTGCCTTTGTTTTGGTTTGGTTCGGTCAAATTATAAAATTAGGTTTAAAAAATAAAATTAGCTAATGTTGGTTATTCTCTATTTTATGTTCTCCATGTTATTTTATTGTTGTTGCCACTGGCTCTGGTTAGGTTCTGGTTTTGCTGTTATCTGCAAAAACAAAAACAAAAAAAGGCAAAAAGCAAAACATAACAACAAAATAAAAAAAAACTAAATAAAAATATTTAATTTGTTTTCATTATTACTTTGCACTCCGTATTGGCATTTCTTTGACTTGATGTCTGTTGGCAACACGCCGTCAACGTTACCAACGCTGCGTCACTGAGTAATGCTTCCAGCAAATCTGATGATTAAATTTCTAAAAATACTTAATTAAAAAAAGGTTTTGCTTAGCCACTTTTAACTTGTATTGAAATAATTTTAAATCATTCTATTTATTCTTTTTTATAGTTATAACCTGTGAGAAATATAATAAAAAAATAAACAAAAAAAAACAAAACTAATATATTTGTCATTTTTTTTTAAGTTTTTGTGTTCCAACTGATTTCATTGTGATAACAATTTAAAATTGTTCTTTTTTCTATAAGTCGGTAGACCGTCACAAATATATATAAAAAAATTATATTAGTTTAAAAAACATTTAAAAGTATTTAAAGTGTTTAAATTAATTTTATTATAAAACAAAAAAAAGGGAAAAGAATGTCTCCAACAAAGGATAATATTAGCACCACTTTATCACGACGTCCACGTGAGGAATTCGCAGAAACGGTAAGTCATAATTAACTAAAATTTTAAGTAAGACATATTATTCTACATAATTGTATAGTTTATATATTATAACTCCTTCTGAATTGAAGGAGTTATAGGATTATTAAGGATTATATGGAGTGTAAATTTGTGGGCTAACAGGTTGAGAACTTGCCACTATGTCACTGCATCCTTTGAGGATTATTGTGACATACACACTTTAGTTCCATAGACGAGTAGCAGTTAAAAACGGCATTATTTTCTTTGGAGGGATGTTGCCTGATTCCGTTATAAGTGGATAGGCAGTGGATGAGTATCGAAATCTGAGTCTGGCGAGACTATCATAGCGACACAAAATGTGTGTTGCTGTTTCCTCTTCTTTGCAACAAAGTCTGTAGCTATCTGCAGCGTCTCTAGTGATACCTATGTTCGATAGATGCTTTTTAACTTCGCAATGCCCAGTGAGAAACCCTGTGATAAGTCGGACACGATACGATCTTCTTGTTCGATACGACATGGATTTTTTAGCTTGTCTACACGCAATTGTATTATCCCAATCAGTCTGAACTGCTCTTTCCAGCCACTCATTAATTTTAAGTTTTAAAAAGCTCCATGAAGAACCGCAGAATGTTTGTGTCCCAATATAATATGAGGCCGCCCCTTTTCTAGTTAGTTCATTTGCTTTTTCGTTTCCCTCAAATCCGCTGTGCCCTGGGAATCTACAGGGCATTAAAATTATTGATTCCATAGTCTAGACAGTTTTATTTTGTGTATACATCCCAAGACCTAATGCTGATTTGCGACTTAAGTTACCAATTTCTATAAACTAGCATCTAAAGCTTTTAAGTTAACATATAGGCACATTACGAAAAATATTAGAGATGATTGAGAGCCGGCTTCCTAAAATACCTCACATAGACTTTAGTTTACAGTATAAATAAGTTTTCTCTTTTAGTGATTTACTGTTTAGAATAAGAATGAACCATCTATGGGACACACCCTACTCTTTAAAAATGCTTAAAACTAGTAATATCGTAAAGAACAAAAGAGTTGTTGTATCTGTCACCCAAAGAGAAAACTATATCGAAACATGACAATTAAGGCCGTGTGCGAGTACGAGTAAATTGAGGTAAAGTAAATTGAAATTTTCTAGGGATTTTTTGCACTGCACTTATGTAAATATTTATTTATTTATTTATTGCACTTACTTAATATTATTAGTTGAAAGTTTTCTCATATTGCTAATTGTTAATGAATATGTATAGTTATTGCTCTTGAAGAGTGTTGTATTTCAAACTGTTTATTTTTGATTTTTTAAATAAAATGATAATATAAGACGTAATAAGAGATTAAAAACACTTTTTATAGTAAAAATTATTTTATTTGTTTTAAGGACAAAAGTTATATATACAATAAACAAAAACAAAGAACAAAATATCAAATAATTGATTAAAATATTTACAGTTTCTGGACAAATACACTAATTTGTTCATTAAGTTCATAAAACGTATATAAAAGAACGCATTTTAGTTGTAAAAATGACTAATTTCAATAATAATCTTCCTAAACTTCAATACACTTCTTCCAACGATTCTCCAATTAATGGGTCATATTTATATAGTAATTGTTCGTAAGATCTGCAAAATGTCGTTTTGTGACAGACATTCATTCAATGAAAATGATTTTATATTATTTTATTTATGATTATACCCACTGATTGTATCAATTTTTTTTTTGAGCTTAATTATTAGGTGCATTGCTTTTTCTTATGAAAGTCGAATATTTTTTTTTCCACCGAAATTGTCAAACAAGTTCTAATAATAATCGGAATTCAATGTTTTCCGAGTTTAAGGTAATATACTAACAAAGTTTCCAAAACATCAGAAAATCCTATTACGAAAACATTCTTGACCGATTCGAAGCAGAAACAAAACGGATTAACATTACTTTTAAAGCTTTTACTTATTAAATCTTTTTAATTTATATTGATGATGGTAGTTCTCGTCGCGTTTATTGTGAGAGGCACAAAGCCCTTTTTTTAATGCACAAAACACTTTTTTTATTAATTCTACAATGATCAAGATGTTGTTTATAGAACCACATTTAAATAAGTTTTTATTATATTGTTAACGAATGTGACATCAGTTGAAATCCAAAATTTGACATAGAATAATTCTAAATATGCTGAATGATATGTCCACACCTTCTACTAAATCTCCTTCAGTCAATTGACAATCTTCTAACACCATATCCTGTATTTTTACATCCTGTATATTATATTTTAATTTCTGGTGTTGTTGCGGTTTATGGACGTCGCTTACGTTTGTCTTTAAGGCTTGTACTCTTAAGACTACTTTCAATCACACCAGCCCATATATAGTATATAGTATAGTTGTAAGACTCCGGGTATCATCTCACATAAAAAGAAACGATGATCAACGAAATTTTAAACACAAATTACAAATTAGCCGCCTAATTTCAAGTGATTCCATCTACGCATCTCTATATCTATCTGTCTACGTTTGCTAAATTCCTTGCTAATCATTACTTGCGCTATATTATTGACCTATATATTGTAATTATTTTTTCATTTGAATTTATTGCATAATTTTCGAAATATTTCTTTTTTTATCTTTTTAAACCTATGAGTAATAAAATTCTAAGAATCCTAAATACCAGCATAAACATTGCCTTAAAACTCAATTCATATGAATCTCTTTAATTAAATATCTTAAAGCTACCATCTACCGACACTATTTTGTTTAAATATGCGTACAATTACATAAATACATATTTACATACACATATACATTCATTTGAAAAATGCACTGTGACCAGTTTGTATATTTAAATTTTTCAAATTAATAATTTCTTTCAGTACAGTGACGTTCAAGTAAAAATATTTTGCATAGGAAATATGTCATATAAGATATTAGTAATTTTATAGTAATTGTATCTAACAATAGAAAAACTAACTAAACTACAATAGAAAAAAAATATGTATATAAAAAGCTTTGCTTAATTTGCATCGCGTGCGTATAAGTTACATTAATCTAATGTTCAATGCAATCAACAGTCTCATAACATGCAATATATGTATGTTTAGGTGTTCAGACTAAAACAAAATATTGGACTTATCTATTTCTGGTTATGTTGTATTTAAAACTTGTTTTAGCCTTTTTAGAAGCCTTAACATATACAGTTTTACTTCACATCTTACATTTGCGATTGATTTATGAACAAAAAGTTCAAAATATTCGTATTATAATTATGAAGTACTCACTGAGCGAACACTAAGCACTAAGCTGGTCGCCAGCTGACGGCTATCAATTTTTTTTGACGTCCAACAAAGTACATAGCCATAAAACACGAACTCTGAATAATTCCTGTAGGTGAACAAATTGTTCGCATGGTAAATTTTTTGAGCATCTATTGACTATTTATTTAAGCATTTTTTTTTTTTTAATCCATTTATTTTATTACAATCTGAAAGGTATGAATAAAAATAAGAAATATATATTAACATGAATCGTAATAATAGTTATTACGATCTAAAAAAGAAAGGCACGTATGGACTATGTCCAGTGACATATCCATATACATTAAGACTGAAAAGTTTTCGGAAATTCTCATTTAAAATTCGCGCGCTGTATATTTTTCGATATTTTAAGTTTAAAGTAGTTTGCAGCACTGTCCTTAATACTATGCCAAAATGAGTGCGATCTGACAGACATCGTTTACGGCAGCTGTGAAACCAGTCACCTCATAGTGCGTGCGAAATGTCTTCAACGGTGTAGAGCGAAAGCTTGTACCACTCATAACTTGAGTTTCGATAAAACAGATTCCCCATAAACTTTTGTAGCATTCGCAACGATTCTGCACACGAATTCCGTTCGAAACACAAAATTGATGCAACCTTTGTTCAATTTTTTTCCCATTGTTTTTTTCGCAAGCACTACTGAGTGAACTGGTTTCAACAGCTGCGAAACGAATGTCGAAGATCGCGCTCATTTTTGGCATAGTAATTGTCCTTAATTGCTGCCAAACTACATAAACTTAAAATATCGAAAAATATACAGCGCGCGAATTTTAAATGAGAATTTCCGAAAACTTTTCGGTCTTAATGTATAATTAAAAGTGTGTGACCTACATATACATATTTGAAACGTCTCTCGATGTTTTACTTTTTAGCCTTGTAAACGTATTGGAGGGGGACATCAGGTGTGTTACCTGCGGGTTTGGATGCAAATATATGCGATGAGCGTTATTCGTTTTAATTCGGGATATTTCTTCCTTGATTGTCGGAACACGTAGTTGAAAAAATATAAATATAAAATAAGACAAATGTTTTTTAACCCAAGAGAAAATACTGTCTGTCAGAACCTTATTAGTCATTGGGGCTGCTTTCTAGATCAAAAGTTTATTTTCTCGCGATAGCTGCGAAATGACCCTCATTTATTTTTTTTTACATTTATGAAATAAGACAATTGTTTTTTAACCCAAGAGTTGTGACAGACAGCTCAACCTTATTAGTCATTGGGGTTGCTTTCTAGATCAAAAGTTTATTTTCTCGCGATAGCTGTGAAATGATCCTTATTTATTTATTTGTTTTTTTTAACGTGATGTTGACAGGCAAGACGTTTCTCCAGGTGTATCTTCAGGTATGTTGCACTTGATTCCTGATTGTTTGTTTTCAAGTAAACAGAGGGTCACAAGCATCTACGTAAGTTATATGTTACTTGTATCGATTTGCATGGGTGGACTTGCATACGTTGCCAAAATTTTAATCATGCGTTAAGATCACTTAAACTTTTTGTAATTCAATGAATGTTATTGCTACATTTGAGTGTAGATAAATAATATATGCATAAGAGTGTATGTATACTTTTTATATTATATATAATAAGAGTACCTAAAATTTCAATAAGTTTCATTACCAGTATTTTTTTATCAGTTGAGGTTATTTAAAAGTGACTGAATTAGTATTTATAATTTCATATAGATTAAATTCCGCGTAATTT